ACACAGATCGGCGTTGTCGAGTGTTCGAACGCGAGGTGAAGTTACACATTTTGCGGTGCCCGTGCAACCCTTCACAGGGATTGGCTTGGTCGAGCGTTGAAACGCTAGGTAAAGTTGCACATTTTAAGTGCCCCGCGCAATCCTTGAGAGGGATTAGCCTCCTCGAGTGTTCTAATCGGTAGGTGTGCAACAGGTACTGTTGCATGTTCTATAGGCGCTGCGTGTAACCCTCTGCATGGATTGGCGTGGTCCAGGGTTGAAACGTGTGGGCAACTTACTACTTGTAACCTTCCCGCCGTGCAACTCTCCACAGGGAGTGGCGTGGTCGATTGCAGGAACTTGCATCTCTGCGAGGTGCAATTGGCAACCCTTCAGAGGGATTGGCAGATGCATATATCGATAATATACATATATATATATATATCTATCTATCTATATGATTCTATATGTATATATATATATATAATATATAGATAGATAGACAGATATTCATGCGCCAGCACGGCAAGCACGCTGTCTTGCGACGGCGCAACGCGCCGCTGCCTGGCCGATGACTTCTGCAGGCTCGGAATTTCTTCATGTTTTGGAGAGGCTTTCTCCTTGCACATGTTTGACTCGCAGGCTGCCTGGTGGATGACTTCTGCAGGCTCGGAGCTTTTTCCTGCTCTGTAGAGGCTTTCTCCTTGCACATGTCTGACCTGCAGGCTGCCTGGCCGATGACTTCTGCAGGCTCGGAGTTGCTTCCTGCTCTGTAGAGGCTTTCTTCTTGCACGTGTTTGACCGGCAGGCTCTGCTCGTGAGGGGCTACATGTTGCAACATCTTCCTATACTGGTGTCTGTTGTTTGCCTGCCTTGTTTGGCTCGAAAGGGAGAAGAAAGGGAAAACGCGTTGTAGCATTTTGCACACATTGCAGCATCTTACTACACCTAGTACGTTTCCTTGCCTGCCTCGACGCTGTCTTGCGACAGGGCCGGTGTGGAGATTTTTCTCATCTTATCAGCTGACCATACTTAGGACAGCCGTTTGCCCGCCTCGACGCTGTCTTGCGAAAGGGTCGGTGTAAACACTTTTTCATCTGAACATACTTAGGACACTGCTTTGCTTGCCTCGACGCTGTCTTGCGAAAGGGCCGGTGTGGACGCCTTTTTCCATCCCATGGCTTTGCTGCTGCGGAAGTTGCGCGCGGGTTATGCCGAGCAGGGCGAAGCCTGGCTCCGCACCGAGCTGGGGAAGCAGAACCGGGATGAGCTGCGTGGGCTCGCTGTCGCTGCGGGTGTGCAACAGAAGTCACCCGGGCGCACGCTTACCAAGCGGGAGTTGTTGGAAGCTGTATCACAGTGCATTGTCGGGGAGCAGGCTTCATGGGGAATCGGCGTTCTTGATGATTGTCCATGTCAGTTTCTGTTGCAGAAAGGCGTCAGTGTCGTGGCCAGGTGGGATGTTTTGTGCTTTGAAGTGAAGTAGTTCTTGCTGTCAGGCCGATGAACCTGTGTCGCAGCAAAAGCTGCAGGAGCTGCGCACGGGTTATGCCGAGCAGGGCGCAGCCTGGCTTCGCCCCGAGCTGGAGAAGCAGAATCGGGATGAGCTGTATGGGCTCTGCGTCGCTGCGGGTGTGCAACGATACTCAGCCGGGCGCAA